CCCCCCCCGCGGTAAAAATCCCCCCCAAGAAAAGGGGGATCCCCTAAAAAGGGGGCTCCCTCAAGGAGGGGTGACCCCGCCCCCAGAGGGACCCCCCAAAAGAGGGGTGACCCCACAAGGAGCGGGGTGTCCCCACTCCCAGTGCTCCCCAGAGAGAGGAGACCCCCAAAAGAGAGGGGTGACCCCCCCAAAAGAGAGGGGAGGACCCCTCTAAAGAGAAGTGACCCCCCCTGAAAGAGGGGTCTCCAAGGGGAAGCCCCCCAAAAGAGGGGTGGGACCCCCCAAAGGAGAAATGACCCCCCCAAAGAGAAGCCCCTCCAATGAAGGGTGACACCCCCCAAAAAGAGGGGTGTCCCCCCAAAAGAGAGACCCCTCAAAGAGGGGCGGGAGCCCCAAAATAGGGGTGGGACCCCCAAAGAGAGATGGGACCCCCCCCCAAAACAGAGATGAGACCCCCTCAAAGCGAGGTGGGACCCCTCAAATGAGAGCAGGACCCCCCAAGTTAGAGGTGGGACCCTAAAGAGAGGTGGGACACCCCAAAAAGGGGTGGGACCCCCCCCAAAAAGGGGTCGGACCCCCCCGACCCCCAGCCACCCCCCAAAGTCTCTGTGTGCAGCAGCGGGGGGAGGGAGGAGCCCTCCCGGATACCGGGGTGTCCCCGCGGGTCCGGGGGGGTCCCTGCGGGTCCGGGGGGGTCCCCGCGGGTCCGGGGGGGTCTCTCAGGCCGGGAAGGGCTCCGGGGGGGGCTCCTCGTCCTGGAAGTGGCTGCGCTGCAGCAGCTTCACGTGGTACTCGTAGATCTTGAGCGCGGGGCCCAGGCGGATGGAGAGCCCCGTGAGCACGTCGGCCCTCTGCATCAGCAGCAGCGACTTGCCGTCGATCTCCTGGGGACAGGGGACAGTGAGGGACACGGGGACAGGGACACGGGGACAGCCATGGGGACAGCCATGGGGACAGGGGACACCCAGGGACAGAGCCCCGTGAGCACGTCGGCCCTCTGCATCAGCAGCAGCGACTTGCCATCGATCTCCTGGGGACAGGGGACAGTGAGGGACACGGGGACAGTGAGGGACAGGGGGACAGGGACACTGGCACAGCCATGGGGACAGGGGACTGTCACAGGGATAGGGAACACAGGGACACAGAGCCCCGTGAGCACGTCGGCCCTCTGCATCAGCGGCAGCGACTTGCCGTCGATCTCCTGGGGACAGGGGACAGCCATGGGGACAGGGGACTGTCACAGGGATAGGGACCACAGGGACACAGAGCCCCGTGAGCACGTCGGCCCTCTGCATCAGCGGCAGCGACTTGCCGTCGATCTCCTGGGGACAGGGGACAGCCATGGGGACAGGGGACTGTCACAGGGATAGGGACCACAGGGACACAGAGCCCCGTGAGCACGTCGGCCCTCTGCATCAGCGGCAGCGACTTGCCGTCGATCTCCTGGGGACAGGGGACAGCCATGGGGACAGGGGACTGTCACAGGGATAGGGACCACAGGGACACAGAGCCCCGTGAGCACGTCGGCCCTCTGCATCAGCGGCAGCGACTTGCCGTCGATCTCCTGGGGACAGGGGACAGCCATGGGGACAGGGGACTGTCACAGGGATAGGGACCACAGGGACACAGAGCCCCGTGAGCACGTCGGCCCTCTGCATCAGCGGCAGCGACTTGCCGTCGATCTCCTGGGGACAGGGGACAGCCATGGGGACAGGGGACTGTCACAGGGATAGGGACCACAGGGACACAGAGCCCCGTGAGCACGTCGGCCCTCTGCATCAGCGGCAGCGACTTGCCGTCGATCTCCTGGGGACAGGGGACAGCCATGGGGACAGGGGACTGTCACAGGGATAGGGACCACAGGGACACAGAGCCCCGTGAGCACGTCGGCCCTCTGCATCAGCGGCAGCGACTTGCCGTCGATCTCCTGGGGACAGGGGACAGCCATGGGGACAGGGGACAGCCATGGGGACAGGGGACAGCCATGGGGACAGGGGACAGCCATGGGGACAGGGGACAGCCATGGGGACAGGGGACAGTGAGGGACAGGGGACAGGGACAGCCAGGGGATGGAGGAGGGTGGGGTGGGGTATCTGGGGGGGAAATGGCATCTGGGGTCACCTGCAGGGACAAAGGGACACAGGGACAGTGGGGGGACAGCCATGGCGAGGGGGACACCTGGGGGACAGGGGATGGACCCTGGGGTGACCCTGGGGAGGGTGGAGGTAGGAGGTGTGGTCAGGGGGACTGGGGACACCTCAGGGACAGCGGGGACACCCAGGGTGACCCTGGGGGATGGGTGCAATGGGGAGGGGTGGGGGCCTACGGGGAAAATATGGGGGACACTTTGGGGACACTGCTAGGGACAGCGGGGACACCTGGGGGACACCCTCAGGGACACAGGGGACACCCTGGGGACACCTGGAGGCCAGTGGGAGGGGGCAGTGCAGGGAGGGGACCATTCCTGGGGACACCCGCGGCCACAGAGGGAGCCCTGGGGACACTGTGGGGACACCTGGGGACAGAGGGGACGGGGTGGCCCCACCTGCTCCTGGAAGGCCCCGGCCTGCTCGGGGAAGCCGGCCTCGGTGAAGTACTCGACCACGTCCCGCACCGACCACTCCACCGGGTCCACGGCCTTGTCCTTGCGCCCGGCCCTGGGGACAGGGGACAGCGGGGGGACACAGAGACACGGTCACCGGGACACAGGGACAGCAGGGGGACACAGAGACACGGTCACCGGGACACGGGGACAGCGTCACGGGGACACAGAGACACGGTCACCGGGACACAGGGACAGCAGGGGGACACAGAGACACGGTCACCGGGACACGGGGACAGCAGGGGGACACAGAGACACGGTCACCGGGACACGGGGACAGCGTCACGGGGACACAGAGACACGGTCACCGGGACACAGGGACAGCAGGGGGACACAGAGACACGGTCACCGGGACACAGGGACAGCAGGGGGACAGACAGGGTCACAGGTACACCATGGGGACACACAGACATGGTCACTGGGACATGGGGACAGCGTGGGGGACACAGACACAGTCACCATGATGGGACACCGTGGGGACACACAGACACGGTCATGGGGACACGGGGACAGCGTCACGGGGCCACTGTGGGGACATGGACACTGGGACACAGGGACAGCAGCGTGGGGACACCGTGGGGACACACAGCCATGGTCATTGGGACACTGGGAGGGCAGGGGGACACCAGAACACAGTCACTGGGACAGGGGACACTGTGGCGACAGGGTCACAGCAACAGAGGGGTGACATAGGGACACAGGGACAGGGGACATCCAGGGGGACATGGAGACAATGGTGATGGGACAGCGGGACACTGAGTGGGACACAGAGGGACACTGGGTGGGACACGGGTGACACAGGGGGCCACAAGGGACGCTGGGTGGCACACGGGTGACACACAGGGACGAGGGGACACCGGCCCCTGACTCACGTGCAGCTGAACGGGGCCCCCTCGGCAGCCTGGGGGCCCGGCCTGCCCGGGGACAGCGGCACCGAGGGCTCAGCCCCCGCCAGCGCCGGGGACACTGCGGGGACACCGGCGGGTCACGTGGGACAGCCCGAGTGACCGCACACCCAGAGTGACCGCAGGGTGATCCCAGCACCGACCGACCCCGAGGGACCCCCAGAGTGACCCCAGCACCGACCGACCCCCAGAGTGACCCCCAGAGTGACCCCCAGAGTGACCCCCAGAGTGACCCCCAGAGTGACCCCCAGAGTGACCCCCAGAGTGACCCCCAGAGTGACCCCCAGAGTGACCCCCAGAGTGACCCCCAGAGTGACCCCCAGAGTGACCCCCAGAGTGACCCCCAGAGTGACCCCAGCACCGACCGACCCCGAGGGACCCCCGAGGGACCCCCAGAGTGACCCCAGCACCGACCGACCCAAACCCCCCTGCCCCCCAAAACCACCCTCTCCCCTCAGTACCTGCTCTGTCGGGCTGCCCGAAGGCCCCCTCCTTTTTGAGGGGGGCCATGTGCTGGCAGCCCCCCTCCCCCGGGGCGCAGGCCTTGGGCTGGGGGGGCCGCTCGGAGGGCGGCTGCCCCGGGGGGCGCAGGGGGGGCCCCCCCCGGCCCTCCCCGTTCAGCTGCCGGGGGGGCCCCGCGTCCTCCGAGGCCTCCGAGCCGGTCCCGTCCTCGTCTTCCTCGTCCTCATCTTCCTCCTCCTCCTCCTCCTCCCGCGCCGAGGCCTCGCTGCTGCTGCAGGGGGGCTGGGGGGCCCCAAAAGTACAGCGTGAGCATCACCCCACAGAGAACCCCCGCAGCTGGGACCCCCCGACAATCTACAGCCCCCAAAAATCGATAGCCCTGACACCAAAATCGACAGCCCCCACCAAAACAGGGCCTCCAAAGCTGCTCCTTGACCCTCCCACAGTGTGACACCGCCCCCCCAAATCCAGGACACCCCCAAAAATGAACACCCCCCCCAAAGTCCTGCAGGGCCCCCCAAACCTAGGATCCCCCAATTCTGCACTCCCCCCCAGAGCTGTCACCCAGCATTGTCACTGGGGTTCCTCAGCTTGTCCTGGGGTTCCCCCAACCTCCCAGTCCCCAGCCTCATCCAGCCCTGGCTCTGGTGACCCCAAAACCCCCTCAGGTCCCATAAAGAGCCCCGCTCCCTGTCCCCCCTTCTCCAGGTCACCCAAGTCCTCCTGGGGGTCTCCAACATCCCCTTGAGATCTCTGCTGTCCCCTCAGGTCCCCAAGCCCCTCAGAGGTCCCCTAAAGGATGTCCCCAACCCTCTCAGGCCCCCATGTCCCCTCAGGAGAAGCCCCCAGATCCCCTCAGCTGCCTCAGTTCCCTCAGGGGACCCCTAAATCCCCTCAGGGTCCTTCCCCAAGTCCCTTTCTCTGTGTCCCGTGTCCCCTCCCCGCCACATCCCCTCCACCTTGTGTCCTCCCCTGTCCCACCAACCCTTCAGGGGTCCCCTCATGTCCCCAGTGCCCCCTCACCACCGCTGTCCCCCTCAGCCCTCCTATCCCCGGTCCCTCCAGAGCCCCCCGCCCCCCTCAGACACCCCCAAATTTCCACCACCTCACCCCCGGCCCCCTCAGGGTCACCCTCCCAGCGGCCCTCAGTCCCCTCCATGCCCTCAGGTTCCCCTCAGCCCTCTCGGCTCCCCCTCATGACCCTCGAACTCTTCATGGCCCCTTCTCACGACCCCCGGGCCCCTCCCCAGTGTCCCCTCAGGGTCCCCCGGTCCCCCTCACGACCTCCGCCTCCCCAGCCCCTCAGATTCCCTTCGATGCCCCTTCAGGGTCCCCTCACAACCCCCATTCCTCTCACCCCTCACGGCTCCCCCCCGCTTCCCGCGCTCCCCCTCACAATGCGCGGGCCCCCTCTCCCCTCACCGCTCCCTCTCCCCGCGCCCCTCACCGCTCTCACCGCTCCCTCTCCCCGCGCCCCTCACCGCTCTCACCGCTCCCTCTACCCGATCCCCTCAGCCCCTCACCGCTCTCTCTCCCCGCGCCCCTCACCGCTCCCCCCTCACCGCGCCCCTCAGCCCCTCACCGCTCTCACCGCTCCCTCAGCCCCTCACCGCTCCCTCTCCCCGCGCCCCTCACCGCTCCCACCGCTCCTTCTCCCACAGG